GCGTTGAACGGGACCCTGCGAACTCCAAAATAGCACTCATACATCGATGTTTCAAACGGATAGCTGTACTTTTGGAAAAGAAGGGCGCGATCAAACGACGGCTGTGACGTCATTGTCCTCCTCGAAAATATGAGAATGAGGGGAAGCGGCCTCCCTTCTCTCCTCGCTTCGGTTCACCAGCTCGACGAGACGTAGCGAGGAGGAGAAGGAATGAGAATCGTGACGCGTCACTTGTCTCGTCAGCCTCGTCCAATCGCGCAGTTTTCAAAAAATACGGCGATCCGTTCGAGATATTGCTGTATGGGTGATGTTTTGGGGTTTTACAGCGTCCCGCCTATCAGTCCAGCCTTGTTTTGTAAGCTCAACATTTTAATTAAGCTTTTTTTTTAATTGTGTCTTTAGTTTTTGTGGGAACCTAACAGACTGCCCACTTTTTATAGACATTTCTGACGCGTATTTCTGGGCCTACGAAAGAAGTGAAGAAACCGAAACTGAACTATCTCCATTCTCATTTCTGGGCCTCCAAAAACGGGTGTGAGGTAGTTAGTGACGTCATGTGTGAACAGTTGGTATTGGTAGCATTTAGGAGATCAAGACTCTGGTACTGCGGTGGATTATAGCACGCGGTGGTGTGATCGTTTCGTCGGGCCTGTCAACATGGACGACAAGGCCGCTTTCGCGAGTGAGTTACGGCTCCCGTTCAGTTACCTAACACCAACGGAACGGAAGTACGTGCAAACTATCATCGCCCGAATGATCACGGGTCTTCATTCGACCGTTTGAAGAGCCATCTACAGCGCAGAAGTTGGGCATGACTACCGCTTTGCAGAATCCTTCGAGTGCCTTGTTCCCAAAGTAAACACGACACCGTCATCTGAAATCAAAACCAAACGCCCCCCCGGTGTCCCGCGCTGTGTTTTTTTTTATTTATATTGGCTGCCCTTAGTTGCTCGTTGCCCGCTTCGCGTCCAGCGTAGCAAAGGAAAACATAACTATGATGTTTTATTCACGGTTTAGTAATCATTATCGGTCCGATTTAATACTTTTCATGGTTATTTAAGAGGAAATTGAAACATCGTTAATGAAAATCGCGAACCAAAATGTGACCGACGGCACGCCTCTTTTCGACGAATCGCTAACGCGTCTCTTGTGACGTTGCGCTTCTAGGCCCCGCAACGTCACGTGAGCTCCGCTTCTCCTGGCTTCTCCCGCAACTCTCAGTGCGTCGTCGCAATCGATCCCGGTACAATTATTACCGCGACTGTTTAATTGATTTTCGCTCTACACAAGCGCCGGTTTCGGCTGAAATTTGGGGAACGTTGCCTGGGACGTGCCTGGAACCCAGTTCAATCGCCAAAAAAAATATCCGAAATTGCCTTCATTGTCTTTTTAAGTCCGACGGCAGCAAACGCTATGGGGACAGGAAGTCGTCTGCTTTTTGCGCAGGGGTTGCAGTGACGTCAGAGTGACGCCGAGTTCCGATTGGTTTAGATGAGAAGGGTAGTGAGTAGACCTCAATGCTAGATGCCTCGAGGTCTACCCCCCCCCCCCCCCCCCCCGTCCGTGCAAAAAGCAGTCAAAGTTTCGCTCCACATTTACGAGCCGATGGAGCCAGTCAAGCAGCTCCAAAGGTGTACCATCATGGCGCTCGTACGTCCTTGTGCGTTGCTATCAGCGCTAAAACCAATCACGTGCTCTGAATATACTGCGTGATGCTGCGCTTTTTTATATGTATGTAATTGGTTTATCCGATCACTGACAACACATCGCGACGACGAGCGCCGTGAGGATGCATTTTTTGTGCTGCTTGATTGTATCTATCCTATTGTATACACCGTTGGATGCAGTCAGACTTAATGCGAAACGGAATATAACCAATCAAATTTTCTCTACAAGCTGGAGCGGTGACGTACGTACTTCAGGCGCGCCTTCAGACTTGACAGAACGATCTCCGATCAATTGAAACTTTATTCGTGAATATCCATAGTTACTCCAACTTAAGGACTGAATGAAAATTACAGGCGAACGCTTAAGCTTCGCCTTTAACAGTGGAACGCGATAGCAAAAACATAGAAACCCCCACTCGCTCCGAAGCTGTACAAGCCTATCTGCGTGACCTAGTCGGTAGCGTGTCGGGCTCGCAACCGAAGGGTCGTGCCACCCGTCTAAAAGTCTTAATTTTTTTCCTTTAAGGCAAATAAATTACTGTTTAATGTGAAATCGTTTGGGAAACGCGCGAGGTCATGTGGCTGTGATGTCATGACCCTATCGATCAATCAGAATTTTCACGTCCGCCATACGGCGACACCGGCTTTTTTGCCATACATGCTCCTTAAAGCTATCGTTTTATAAAGCTCTGCAGTGCCCTTAAACGTATAAAAGATTCAGCACCACGACCTGTAGCTCGCTTGGAGGGGCTGCTAAAGGTCACTCGTCATAAAAGTGCACTATTTTTTATGGCGTCACAGAAATTTGAGAGTATCTATCCGCGTAACGCCTTTTAGGTAACAAAGCCGTAGAGCGGAATTGTCGACGTCACCCAGAGAAAGCCAACACGCGGTGCAGATTAGACGCGAGTGCTTTGTCAGTGTTTGGCTAATACTCTTAACTTCACTGATCGAACACGAGTTTCAGCCAAATCCCGCTGCAGGCTTTAGTTATTTTTTAAAATCAAATTTAGTTTTCATGAAACGGCCATGGAAGTCGCCCGTTTACCCATTTTGTGGTAGCCATGCTGACATGCAGTTTGCCAGAATTTTCTCAAGCTACAGTTAGGCTAAAAATTTCTTAGGCTTAGTAGTGAACAAAAGGCGTCCTCGGTCTATGTGCGACAGCCTAAACACCTGTTAAATGTTCGTGAACAAACAGGGGCATCAGCAGGACGTTAGTCTGTTGTCTCGGTACATGCCCAGTAAGAGTTTGCTGGAAGAGCAGAACGTGTTAAAATTCCGAAGCGCTGTGAAGCATGCGTAACACACGAAGTTCAGCAAACATTGAAAGTGTGTCCTTCAGGATGTGCGCTCAAATAAACCTTATCGCGTTGAGCGTTTCTTTTTTTTTTTTTTTTTCTGACTAACTAGGAGAAAGTTGATGCATTCACAATCCATGGGGGTATCACTCATTTTCAGTATACTTCGTTTCAGCTTCGATCCAGACGCAGCCGATGCTGCAAGCGCGAGCATGTGGCCCAGAACAGTGCTTGCACTGCACGAGCGCGCGTGCTTGGCAGCGATGCTGAAAGCCCGGAGCTCGCGCTTGTAGCTTCGGCTGCGTCTGGACCGAAGCTGAAACGAAGTTAGAAAATTTAAAGAGAAAATTTGTGCGCCAAAATTCATTTGCCTATGATGTTAGTGATACTTCCGATCGCCATTTCTATAATTTTTTTTTAAATATCTCACCTGCATTTGATTTTACTAAGACATCAGTCGATCCTTTATGTGAACGACAGAAAATCATATGAAGGCATAACTATGCGCTTTGCAGCAGACTCACTAGAGTTGTTGCTAAGCAAGCAAAATAAAAATCGATTGAAAGAATGAATGAATGAATGAATGAATTGTGTACGCTTCAAAGTAATCTTGGGTCATCAGAGCAAGCAAGGTAACAAGCTATACTTATAATCATCTCGAGATTTGTTTTTTTTATAGTAATGACAGCTGAAGAAACGCCGAGCGTGGTGAGCCTTAAGAATTTTTATACTACTCAGGACAGTTACCGGGAGTACGGCCTTTGCCGATGAGAAAGCTGATTGATTGATTGACTGATTGAAAAACAATTTACGGAGCAAGAACCGTCAGCATAAAAGTCCAAGCCGTACGTTTCTTAAGTTGTTAGTAACGATGGTGCTCCCACGCTTTGCAAATGTCACTCATTAACATGTTTGTGTGAGAAATTACGTGGTTCACTGTTTCGTCCAGAGTATAGGAAGCGTGAAAATTGCTGGATCCTCGAAGGTCACCTCTACGCCCATTTCCCTCACTCGATTTGCAGAGTTTATAGGTTGTATAGGTTGAGTGATCTTGAAGATCGTATTAGCTATTCCTTCAAGAGTCGAGTGGACTCTTAAGTCTAAAAGTGCTATGAAAGTCAAGGCTACTGCAGATGAATTTATTTTCGCGGATTAAATATTTATTGAATTTTTTCGACGTACGAGTTTCGAAAATATTCCACGGGCTCAAAGTTTCGCGCCTGAAAACGACAAGCTTTATACTGCATATCCTAGGGAGACGTACTTGCGCCATAAATTTCTGACGATGTTTTTTTTTTTCTTTTTTTTTTTCTTTCAGGTTACGAAGTTTGCGAAATTTAGCGCCTCGCAAAAATTAAATTGGCTACAATATATGGAAATGAATCTAATATGCCTAAGTACCTAAGATTAGATGTTTCAATACCCATACATGTTTTATATCCTCGCATTGCAAACCACTAAGTGCGTACTTCCGATCGTAAGTTGTACAGTACATGAGGGAAAATAAGCGTATAGGAGAAGAATGTATGGCTGTCATCATAAGCATAGAGGACTAATACGCGTATTAACTGGCCAAGATGATATTCACGCATTTAAGATATTTTACTCTGAACGTATACTCAACTAATACTTGATGCCAATAATTACTATCAGCTTCTCCTTGATGTCCTTACTGTTTCTACTTTAACCGATTATATTTTATGTATTTCGTGGTATGTGTTAATTTCCTCGCCTTTTTTTCTTGTACGGTAGGTGCACCTCACAGAAGGCCCCATAACCATTTAAAAGAACACGGCGATAATGATTCTTCTTATTCTTAATATTATTATTATTATTATTATTACTGATATGCTCTAAATATTTTGCGAAAGTTCCGCCAAGGCTGGCATGCGCGTCACGCGTATGACTCCTAGGATTACCTTGAGAAACAACCGCCTGTCTCAAAGAAAGAATGGTTACACTAATTGCCTTTCAAGGAAATGTTATACTCCCTGAACCCAAAAGTGGCTAAGATTGAAAGTGCTATACTCACCGAGTGCGCCGTAGGAGAGCATGTCTGCCGATGGATGCAGCCATCTGTATGGTCCTTCCGAGCACATGCCACCGTAATAGAACGAAGGCCCCAGGTCCTGACCCAGGCCAGCCGCACCGGCAGGGTTCCCATGATGTCCCGTCCAGGCCGGAGGCCCACAGAGTTCCCCGACACCTCCAGGAGAAAGTCCGTTGCCGACGATCTGCTGCGGACTGGAACAACCAGATTTGACCTCTGGTAAGTCAAGGATGTCTCGCACGGAAAAGCTAAGCTTAGCGGGACGACTGCCATGGCCGTTGCCCTGAGGCCCTGCACCGCGCGACTTGGAGCCCGAAGCGACTCCTCCGCCAGCTTCGGCTGCGGCTGCGGCCGTGGCTTGAGCCACGGCCCTACGCAGCACGGATACGTAGGCTATGTTCTGCAGGGATATGGGGAGGGAGGCTACGCGGGGGCTCCCAAAGATGGCCGGTCCACTTCGGTCTTTGAGGAGCGGGATGGCGAGTTCTCTCAGGGTTTGCATGTGGCCTTCATCGCCTCCGGACCGTCGACTGTACCTCCGAATTCCGATGCGAGAGAAGGAAGCTCTTCCTTGCCGAGAATGTAACACCGCCGCTGTGATGTTTAGACATTACCTCGGGCAACTTAAAGAAAAAAACAACAAAAAAAAAACGCACAAAGGCCTCTTGACTTTTTGCGATCAAGTCTCGGGTGGCGAAGATGGGTCTTAAGAGGAAACACGTGTAGGTTAGGAGAGGACCGCGGTCGACCTTGCGAGACACGGGCACATTCCAGCGGTGCTTGCCTGCGGTCGTGTTGTCTTAGCAGAAAACGACGCACACTCGAAGCGGCTTCCAGGGAAGAGGGTCACAACGAGCGGGAAAACTCAGAGTACACGGTTCGGAAGTGGAGGGGGGCCCCGGAGAGGCCGACGTACGCGCACACTCACTCGAGCACATACACGGAGGCTCTTGACGTTGCGCTGGCCACTCTGCACCACTCGAGTGGTTCCTGAGAGCGCGGCGACGAGAAGAGGACGACGGTCTGAGTTGAGTCGGCGGCAAGCAAAACTCTCGAGAGCGTTGTAAATCCACAGCCGGGACAAAACTGACGGGGCTTGTTTTCTTTTTCTTTTTTTGAGAACAGGGGAGTCAGTCCAGGAAAGAGAGTGAGAGAGAAAAGTGGAGGGGGGGCCGGCGAAGATCCTCCCGTGCAGAGCCTGCTGCTCCAACAGCGAGCGACGATGCTAATACCACTTGGCCCCAGACACCTACTCTCGGAGAGCGAGGAGCCCTCACTGTTCTGTATATATTTTTACGCGAAAAATCTCCACTGGAACTTCACTCCACGCCGTCACCCCCCACCCCCTACTCTGGCCTCTTGGCGTTCATCAATAACACCCCCACTTTTCGGCCCGAAAAGCAGCGAGGCGGGCTCTCTCGTGGCCACGTCAATTGGCCCGTCTTAGGGGAGCTCCCCATTGGTTCATCGATCGCGGGGCTCTCCACCAATGAGGAGTGACGCTTTCCCCCACCCTTGACTCGAGTGAGAGGGCTCCAGAATGACGAGGGGTTTGTCGGATTTTATGTCGAGCATAGAGTCTCACCCCCCCCCCCCCCTCTCCGTCTTTTCAACCCCCCCCCCCCCCCCCAGTCCCCCTCAGCCACCCTCCGTCCGGAATGGGTAATGATTTTTTTCACAAAGTGTCTCCGGCCCGCCGCGCCGCGCGCAGTTTCTTTCGGCAAGGACAGCTCGAGGTCCAGGACTGGGGAGAACCATGGAACTCGCATTCAAAACAGGAGCTGGCTATCAATTCATGACCGCTTTCTTTTTTTGACTGCCCCCCCCCCCCCCCCCCTCCCCTCTCTATCCCTCTTTATGCCGAGAGTAGTTGCACCGCGAGCTTTCTGCGAGGGATCGGCCCAAATATGTATTCTGTCACCCGCCAGCCACCGTACAGCCACCGTAGCGGCCGTCGCCAGCCCTCCCTTCCCCGAGGAAAACCAAGGGTCTGATCGCCACCCCTCGTCGTCGACAGCTGGCGTTGCAAAATGTGGGAGTGAGTATTTGCACAGAGACCCGCTTTGAAATAAAGCCTTCCCCCCTTGGCGAAAAGGAGGCGCGCACATTGGGGCCGACAAAGGAGAGGGACCGCGTTGAAAGGCGCGAGCGCGCCAAGAGTCGCGCCGGATGCACAATGGTTCCCCAGTTTCCGACAATTTGCCATTGTCGCCGATGGATCCCAGGTGTTACACGATCGGTTGTCCTCTGCGTCGGGGAGCTTCGCAACGAACGACGAGCCCCCGCGAGTGACAAAAGTCAAGCTCCAGTTCTGGAAGCTCGAGAAAGAAGGATGCTGACTAGGAGTACCCTTGGAGGGTCCTCCTGATGCCACTCTTGGGGCCCTGCTAATCCCCACTCGTGAGTCGAGGATCGCGCACTCTAGGAGAGTCGTCCTCTGCGCCGCTGCTGAACGGTGGAGGACCGTGCTCTCCCCTCTTGGAAGGGACTCCCGCGACTATGCCCTCCTGATGATGAGAGTGCTGCTTAGATCAGATTACATATTTCCTCGATTGACTCTGGTTACTTTGGGAGGCCATTGGAGACGGGAGCAGAGTGATGCGAGAACGGACGTTTTTTTTAAAGTTTTTTTTAATAAATATAATATTGCGAGGCTCGCATACATCTAGAGGGGGAATGCAAATACAAGTTTTTCTTGTCGAGGAACTGCTTTCAAAACTTGTTTGAGGTTCATCATTATTCCCTACTTTGGCAACAACTGACATGCAACTATAAGAACAATAAAATTATACGAGGAATATACCGCCAGTTTGGCACTAAATTGTATTACTTAATCAGAAAAAAAAATCCAATACACCTTTACTTAAAAAAGATATTTTATCTTTGGTTACAGCCTTTTTCTTAAAGTAACAAATATAATATTTCTAGCACAAATCGTGGATGAGGGGTCAAGTTCGACTAAGATACTAACATAGAATATCACGCATGTAATTGAGTTTAGTTGACTTTAAAGTATTTGCTCAAACCCTGTCGCTCCTATCCGAGGAAGATGCCTAACGCACGAGAAAGTTGAAATAACGTTATGACTATCCAAGATGCAATCTGCGCGGGAACAGTGAGCGTGCAACACGTCCCCTTTGTCCTCTTCAAAAACAAATGCCATCTAGCGGTTCAAATTAAAGCCTATCTGCCGACATGACTATACAAATAGGGTAACATTTAATCGGACACCGACGACTTTTCTTCTAGACATATTATAATTATTTCTTCTCTGCTAGCTGTCTGTCCTTAAAGGAAAACTCCCTCCCCCCCCCCCCCCCCAACCCCATTTTTTCGCTAGGCGATTTATTATGGCCGTAAGAAGACTACCCAATTAATATTTTGCTACAGCGTCACGTATACTTTAATAAAATAGAAAAACGCAACTGCTCAAAACAGAAACCGAAACTGGACCGGGAGAAAGAAGAAATATAGAAGAGGAGAATGTCACCGGAAGTCACGTGGCTGTGCATTTTTTTTCTTTCAATCAACGTATTTGCAGCTTTTTAAACCACCTCCCCCCCCCCCTCCAAAAGAAAAAATATAAAAAAGAGAATAATATTTTTTGTCTCTTTATAGAATTGAGTGTGTGCCTTCGATGACCCACGACTTTGACAATCTTTGGTGGTTGTGTCTAAACCATAGAAAACAGCACGAGACCACGGAAGAGATAGTGAGTGCGACTAAAACCGGCCAGTTTTTGATCGGCGGTTTTCGGGCGGAAAGAAAACGGATGTCGAGTCACAAATGGTGTTCTGAGTAGTGTGGCCCTCTGAGTCACGTACAAATAAAAACGTTGGCGAGCATGAATACCTTGTCAGTGTCCCCTTCAATAATTGCAATTCCAATAGTTCAAACAGGCTGTGGAGTAGACACAGTCGGCTAAAGAATTCTGCGATGATCCGACTGTGTGCCAATATATATTGATTGACCCTGCTTCCAACAACTCGCTGACGGAAAACTCACGTCCAATGTGTTTTTCCTATGGGGCTGACATCTTGAATGCACCTAAATTTGTTCGTCCGCCCGTCTCTCCGCTAATTTATCCGCTGAATGTAACGAAGAAATTGACGTCACGTGACGTCCCGACTTGACACCGCGATGTCCCGTCACGTGAACACGTCGCGTGACCTCAGGTCACGTGACGTCACTGTCCTTTCTAAGAGTTAATCTTGTTCACTACCTCAAACGACAGCATAAGTTCTAAACAACTTTATAGTATCGGTAATCAAATATTGCGTTCCATGCATCACGGGCTTAATAGGTAAAAGTAGCTAACGATTTTTCGTCGTCAGACACAACTGAGTCGTCATTGACATGACAAAGCAGTTATACACTCTAGTTAGTTTAATGATCAAGTTTGTCACACCGAATTCTGGATAAAATATTTTTTTCATATCTTGAACCAGTTTGCTGGGCGCCCCAAATCTAGTACCACTAGGGTTACAGTTCCACTGATTTCTTTCCACCTCGTTGCTGGGGTTGACAATGTCAGCCTATTTAGAGACAAGGGCGAGAACAATTGGGTAGCCTGTCGCATTCCGTGATACAAGGGGACGTCGCTTCACTTCATTATCTAGATTGGGCATCGGGACTTAATGAAGTACGTTTCAATATACGGCCCATCCGTGTCGCCTTAATTGTGCACTGTCTTACTATCTTTTTTGATAACACGCATCGCCGATAACATTTCGGTGACGTAAGTAATTGCTGAACTGTCATTGTTGTTGCGCACGTTTCCTTTTCTGGAGCAATGCACGTATTAATGAAAGTCAGCTAAATGAGTGTGTGACGCCCAACAATTTATTTGGCATCTTTGCCGCTCTTTTAAGTCCAAGTAAAGTAAAGTCAAAGTAGAATTCAAAGTCAAAGTCAAATTCAAAAGTGAATTTGAGCAAAAACTTGATCTTTTCACTATAGAAAGTATATCTAAAAAAGTGACGCAAAGTTTCAGAGAAAAAAAAGTGGCGTGCATTATTTAAATTTTAAATAAGCAAAGGATAATCACCGATTCTAGCCAAAATGATTGAGCGAATTCCTAACGAACACGGTGAACTCGAAGGTTATACAACAGACCTTTTCGAAACCCATCAAGCAACGTTTGCAGTTGCCATTCCTTGGCCAAAAAGCTGAAGCGTGTGACTGGATTTGAGGC